AAAAAAAAAAAAAAAAAGGAAGGTGGGCACCCACTGATATCCTTATTTTTTTCTTAAAGCACTGTACTTCCGGTGCTGTTTCTAATTGTGGTTAGCATTTTAAATTAGAATATTGGTGTCTTCCTGATGATTTGTAGTGTTACTGCATTTTTTTCTCTTTTGAACAAATTTTTAAAGATATTATGGGAAAGATTTCTCCCAAGTTGTCTCCACCAAATATATGCCACATTTAGCTGCTTGCTACACATGGCGAATGACTATACACTTAGAAGTCAACAGAAGTAGGTCAGGGGTTATTCTCCCTAAGGGTTATCAGCCATCCAGAGCAAGCAGTCACCACTGTTTATCCCACAACAAGTAGGACCCACTCCCTTCTGATAAGGATAGTAGTTGACTGTTTCCTTGTAGGAGACCCCAGACAGGTCAAGCCCACCCCAGGATGACCAAGGTTAGGCTGCCATCATGAATCTAGGGTCTGCCCATCTTGTCACATGTATACCTCTAGTCCCTCCCATTCCTATGTGCATACCCCTAGCTCATCCCCTTCCTGTCACACTTATGCCTATTGTACATGCCCTTCCTATGATGCGTATGCCTATTGTACTGCCCCTTCCTGTGATATGTGGTTACCTACAATCACGCCCCCCTAAGTAGTTATAACCCTTGAATAGCAATAAAGTTGGGCTCTCCTACTCTTGTTCTCGTGCTCTGCGGTTCTTCCCACGTGGACCACCAAGCGGGGCTGAGGTGAGCATGCTACCATGAATTGTGTCTGACTCCATTACTTCAATCTCTCTTCTATCTCTCATGCTATGACTGCACTATAATCTTTACTTATTATCGCCGTACAATTGCGCCTACCAGACCAGTGGTGATTTGTTGGGGCCCCTCTTTTCCCCCACAAGATGTTAATTTTTTTGTTCTGGAAATTGCTCCTCCCACCCCACTTACATATGCATTGTCCATGTTAGCTGTGCAGACTAAGTGAAAAATAATTAAGAGGCAACATTCAGAAAGTTTACAAAGTTTTACTGCAGAGGGTCAGGGGACATTATTGTGTAAATAATATCAAAGCTCAGATTCTGTTTGTTCTCAGGGGTTCCAATTCTCATTAAGCCAGTCTTCAATGACATTATGCTTAAGAAGCTCCAAACAAATTCTGATTTTTAAAGATGGAGTAGATTGAAACATATTAATTTACCATCTTTTCTGCCTATTGAACTTCTATCGTAGATTTAGGGGGCCTTGGGTGACATACTAAATATATTCTGGCCACCGACTTTTTAAAAATTGGATGTCTTTTGTCAAGTCATGCATATAAATTTTATCAGTGCTCTTCTGAAAGGATTTGGATCTAAAGGTTTACTCATAAAACTTCTTATCTGTATTGCTTCAGATACGTAGGGTCATGCTCAAGATGTCAGTGGGCTTGCCCACTTTGACACTTCGATTTCTAGGTTAGGTCAAAGCCAAATTCTAATTCTATTAAGTTTTATAGAATAAACACCTTTTTCTCTATCCTGACCAGCCTCCAATTATCTAGCTTTTTCCCTCTAAAATCCAGATAGCAGATTTAAGCACTACTTTCCTCTAATTTCATAGCATATTTGAAGGAGATTTTCAGAGAAATCTAGCAAGATGAGTGAGTACCAAAGTATGAAAAAGCCGGGGTTCTTGAATCATATTTATGACATGCTAAATTATTTAGAGAACACGAGAACAATTTATTAAAAAATAAAGTCACACTGGGAGACAGTCCCTGTTTGACCCACAAGGTAATCATCCAGATTTATTTTAAAAAGGAAGGTTTTCCTGTTGATTTTTAGAAGAGCAGAGGCAACAGGCAGCCATTTCTTTAGCTAATTCATGAATCTTTGAGTAAAACTTAAGCCCAGGTTACTTTGGGAGGATTTAAAATAGCAAAGCATATGTGAATAAAATGATTTGAGGTCTGTGTAATTCTGAATAATAAAATAAAGATTAAGGTGGTAATTTTGGTCCCTCAAGTACTGGTATTTAGACTTTAAAAATCAATCAAGAGAGAAGATTAAGTGGTGTTTCTTTGGCACTAAAAATGTAAAGGCAAGACTAAAATGTTCTATTTTTACAGACTTAAGGTAAAAAGGATGATATTTAAAGACATTAAAATTACTATGAACATCTCTTCAGCTTGTAAAGAATCTCTTATGAAGTACACTTAGAAGAAATCCCTGAGTATATCAAATACTCGATTGCTATCTTCTTTCCTAAACAAAGGGGAACCATTTAAAGGCTTTGGAAGTTGTGTCTGTTGATAAAGCTTCTTCAGTAGTGCTTATGAATCGGGGTGCCAAATGCTTGAGAGGAGAAATACCACATTCACGAAAGTAGGCGAGAGCACGTGGGTATATTAGCTGTTCCTACGTGAACTTAAAAACCATTCTCTAATGGTGCCTCTATTTTGTTTGAGCCACTCAATATTGTTTTTCACGGTTTCCAGCACTTGCTCCCTCGGCTTTTCTCCTGCTCCAGCATCTGGGTATTTGTTGAAAAAGCTCTCCATCTAGAAGAGAAAAGGAGGTCATTACTACGGGAGTCCTTTTGAGACCAATCCGTCTTGAAGAATTTCAGTTGCACACGCGGTGCAGTTTGTTCTTCTGCGGACTTTAACTTCAAGTAACCTCCCGGAGCAGTCTCTGACCGCCTCATGCAGGCTGAGCCCATCTCGCTGATGAACAATCGCTAACCATGGCTTTTGTACCCTGGCAGCTTGTAAACCAAAGAGCTTCTGACATGTTGGGGAGGGAGGGCAGCATTCCAGACCAAGGCTGGGTGACCAATCCTGCTTCTGCGAATTCCCTACAGACGCTGGTTTGGCTGGGGATGGTCTTGCTTAGTCTTTCACCCCAGGAATCTGGGGTATTTTAATATACATTCAGCTTACTTTACTCCAGGCTCATAAACAATCTCTGTGAACTTGATTTTACTCTCCCTCTCTTCCCCCAAGTCCTCTCCCAAACCCAATGAGAGCGCTAGCTGCTCTTTATAAAAATAAGGGTTCTTTTCCCCCCCCTTGACATACAAACGAATCTTGGCATTTTAATATCTAATACCCAGATATGGAAATGTCACACAATATCTTCCCTGCCCCCAACATGAATACACATAGCTTCCTTAGAATGGAGACTCTTGAAACTGGAAGAACTTAAATTTACATCGGAACGACACATCCGGAGTCCCCTTGACTAAGTTTATCCTAGGAAAGGACTATTCTTGCTTTGTTAAATGGAAGGATCTCATTGCGCCTCCTAAGTCTTCCAAAGCTTCACCTTTCTCAGCATTTAAACTTTGTTTTTGTTTCTTTATTTTTTTTTTCAGTTTATATACAGGAATTATTAGATAGAAAACGGATTTTTCACTGTCTTCTGTGATTTGAATGGGGAAACATCAGTTCTACTTGGGAAACAAACAAAAAATCAAAACTTCAGTCTGTTTCTGGAAAAGTGTGTAGAGGGATTCATTTTCATACCTCCCAGAGCTGGAGTTCAGTGTTGAAAGGGTCTGCGATTGTGACAATCCGTCCAAGGTTTCTATCATTGAGGGTATATCTGAAGAGAAATTCAGAGGCATAACAGAGTGTAAGAACATGAATTTAAAATCCTTTCTCTAGTTTTCTATTTAAAATATATGTTTCTTAGATAATGTTAATTTATGTTTAACTTAAAAGAATTCTCTTCAGGAGAAATTCTTAATAAATTATCAACTTCATTTTGTAGACAAATTAGAACCACTTTTCCAGGTGTGGTAGATTGCTATCGAACTCTCCAAGTCTAATCTCTTTCCTGCACAGATGAGCTCTCAACTTCTTGAACTACATGTCTCAGCCTCCCTCACAGTCAGTTTAAGGCGGATGAGCCAATTCTCACCAATGCATCTTTTGCCTTCTTGCAACATTGTTGTCTTCCCGTCTTTCAAAAAGAAGGAAATTGCTTGCCTTAGACTCCTCTTCCTCATCTTTCCCCAAAGCCAGAATATGAACACATCATACCCAGCTTGTACCCCAGAGACAGAATAATGTCCGGGGTGATGGTGGACAACAGGTGAAGCACTGAAGTCCCTGCCTTGCCTTACAAAGTATAGCCACCTCCACAGTTTGGGTCGTTCATATCAAGAGCAATAATCAGCGATATCTTTTCGGCCACTGCATTTCTGGGTGCCTGTTGTAACAACTTGGCAAGTCTTGGACTGCTAAGGGAATGGTCAGCGGTTCAAACTTATCAGCTGTTCCTTGAGAGAAAGATGAGGCTATCTGCTCATATAAAGAGTTACAGCCTCAGAAACCCTGGAGAGGGGTGGCCATGGGCTGTCATGAATACCATGCCAGTGGTTTATATGCTATGCACTGGTGCTGCAATAGGTTTAATGTTGAACCGTACACCACAAGGTCAATGGTTCAAATCCACCACTCTGTAGAAAGGTGAACCTGCCTGTTCCCATAAAGGCTTACAGCCCGTTTTAGCTCAGTAATTCCTAGTATGTCAATTTTTACGTGTTCCCTTTTCATTCTTGATCATTCCAATTTTCCTAGATTCATACTTTATAACTTCTATGGTCCAACTATTGAAGGTTGTTTGTAGCTGCTTTTAAGTGCTTTTCAAGAGTGTCAATCAAGGGAGGTACGTTGTTACTGAGAAGAGCTCTAACTTGAACCAGGTCCAGGAGTTCTCCCTTTGTGTTCATCATACATTAACGGAGAGCTGAATATTTTCCTCGTGTTGTGTTAGATGCTAGCACAACCTCACCCACACCAAGCTCACTGCCATTGAGTCAATGCCTACTGATATCAACCCTACCGGACAGGGTAGAAGAGCCCCTGTGGGTTTCTGAGACCGCAGCTCTTTATGAGAGGAGAAAGTCCCTTCTTTCTCCCATGGAGCAGCTGTTGGTTTCAAAGTGCGGGCCTTTGGGATCTCAGCCCACCTCGGAACTGCTTCGCCACCAGATAGTACTTGCTATTGCAGTAGGCCAGGTTGTACAGGCAGGATATATGTACTTGTTGTAGCCAAATGAAAAGGAATTCTATTTAGTCCCATCTCTAGGTCTCAGAATCCAGGAAAAGAACTGTGCTTCAAGGTAACTAGCTTATTGTTCCCCGGGTAGGAAAACACCGTGGTTCTTGATCTTTGACCAAATGCCATTTCAGGTAGTATAATGATTCCAGAGAAAGTACATGGAAGAGAAAAAGCAGGAAATCTGCAGAGTATCAAACAAAGTGACCACCAAGTGATTGTCCGAGCATCCCACCTGTTGACCAGATAGTCCCAGTTGAGCTGTATCCAAGTCCAGGCCATTCTCTTCCCATAGGGGTTATAGGAGATATAGCGGATGACTGTAAACACATCCTGGCTTTTAATAAGTGTCGAGTTCTTGAGCAAATCCAAATACCTAACAGAAGTCAAGCAGGAAAACAATTAAAAATGAATATTACATGTTCATCTTTGGTTAAATTCCAGTAGAATTTTGCTTTCATTCCTACAATTCAGTTCTTGAGGGGCCAGCTGATGAGGCTAATTAAATACGTCAAATATTTGAATACATTTACCCACTTTGAAAGAATAGCATTATTTAGAAACTAATGAAACACATTAGACGAGGCTTTAAAAGCAAGTGATTTTGCACGTATTACAAACAATAAACAACATTTTAATGATTAAAAAAATAGCATTTATTGAATGGAAGCATTTCACCCACTTGCTGACTAGCCCACTGCACTATAAAAGGGGACAATGAAATCAGAGAAAGTACGTCTACCCTTATTTTTCTGTAGGTTAACACGTACACTTGTTTTTTTTTAAATCTGTATACTTTTATCTATAGGCTAACATATAAGCTTAGCTTTTTAAGAAGGAACTTTCAAATATAGCCTGCATGATTAGGTTAGCTGGCTATAATTATCAAGCACAACAAACTCACTGCCATCAAGTGGATTTTGACTCATAGCAGCTCTGCAGGAAGAGTAGAACTGCCCTTGTGGGTTTCCAGGTCTGTATCTTTTTTTATAGGAGTAGAAAGCCTCATCTTTCTCCTGCAGAGCTGATGGCGGTGTTTGAACTACTGACCTTGCATGCAGCTAAGCAACCCAATGCATATCCCACTACGTCACTGAGGCTGCAATTAGAGCATAACAAATAAAGTGCAGATACATTAGAAAACTAAATGAATAAAAACAGACAACTTCCATCGAGTCGATGCTGACTTATAGCAACCCTATAGGGCAGGCTAGATCTGCCCCTGGGGTTTCTGAGATTGAAACTCTTTATTGGAGTAGAAATCCTCGTCCTCCTCACACAGAGGTCATGGTGGTTTCGAACTGCTGACCTTGTGGTTCACAGCCCAATGTTTAATCACTACACCATTTATTTATTTCATTCAATACATGGATTTAATGAAATGTATGTCATGGCTGTACCAACCACTGCGTTTTTAACTCAAGATCTTATAATCACATATTATTACTCAAAAATAATAACTGTTTGCAGTTAACACTGTCACCTATTTATTCCTTATGAAAAAGGAATCACAAAAAACGGATGTCTACTATTGATGGCATAAGGAAAATCAAAGAATAATCCATGCATTTGAATCACGGTGCTGGGGAAGAATGTCGAAAGTACCATGAACTGTCAAAAAAGGAGCTCTGGTGGCAGAGTGGTTAGGCTTTGGGCTGCGATTCAGAAAGTCAGCAGTTAGAAAAGACCAGAGGCTCTGAGGACGGAGCTTTCTACTTCTATAACAAGTTATAGTTACAGGGCCAATGCCAAGGTCCCCATGAGTCAACAGTGACTCCACGGCAGTGAGGGCTTAAAACATTTTTTTAAAATAAATTACCAAAAGGACAAATCAATCTGTCTTGCAACTAGCACAGCCAGAGAGCCCTTTAGAAGCAAGGATGATGAGATTTCCTCTCATTCTTTGGACGTGGAAAAGGACATCGTGCTTGGTAAAGAAGAGGGGCAGAGAAAGCGGGAAAGGCCTCAAAGAGATGGATGCACACAGTGACTACAACCGTGGGCTCAAGCACAGGAACGAAGTGTGGTGATGGAGCAGGACCAGGCAGCGTCTGTTCTGTTGTACACGAGGTTGCATAGGCTGGGTCAGAACTGACTCGATGGCACCTAACAATGTATGCCAATCGACCATATATATTCTCAGATTCTCCGAGCCTTGCTGCTTCAGACTTCCTAATGAAATATGAGCTAATACATAGGACAAAGAGATCATTGTTCAGTTTGAGTTGTGAGAGGATAGTTTTGAGAGTCAGCCTCTCTCAAAGAGAAAATATATTTCTAAGTTTATTATTCTTTTATTAATATACCAAGAACCAGTTTTGAAGACATTACACTAAGATAGAAGAAAACCCGAGTTTTAAGGTACATACTATCCCTTCTAATCTGTAGAGAACTGTCAGAGAGACCAGTCCTGGGAGAACATGGTGTTTGGTCAAGTGGGAGGTCAGTGAAAAAGACGAAGGCCCTCAAGGAGATGGATGGACACAGGGGCTGCATCGATGGGCTCAGGCATGGGAGCAATTGTGAGGCTGGCACCGGACTGGGCAGTGCTTCGTTCTCTTGTTCCTCGGCTCACTATGGGTCAGAGCTGACTCGATGGCACCTAACTACAACAACAACAGTCTGTAGGGCAAAGGCCCAGAGCTCAGTATCAGATTGCGTGCTATGGTTCTGGAGGCAGAGAGGGGAGAACACATTAATACGTTTAAAGTCATGCCCTTGTTATTTTGCCTTGCGGGTACTATACAGGGGACCTAGAACTTTCTTCAGCCTAGCAATGACTGTAGGGGTGTGAAGGACTGAGAGGACAAAACTGCCACACGGTGCAACATGAACAGAGAGAGGCAAAGGACGAGGCCTGTAGCGCTCATCTCTCAGTGACAGCCAGTGCTCAAGCAGGTACACGGGATCTCTGAAAAGTCAGCAGATTCCGGTCCGGAACCATGGGAGGTAAACACCTTACGGCAAGACCCAGAGGAGACTGAGATCTCTTTCTTCACCCAAATCAGGTGACTTATCGTTCCCAATATAGAAGGGATACGAGGAGATTGAACATTTACTCGAAAGGGACCTTTTTAACTGAAATTGTAGTCCAACGGGTGGTTTAAAAACTAGATTCACAGGCGATAATAGTTAAAATGAGCTAGTTCCCATTTTACTAGCTCATCACCCACCAAAGTGGAACTCTTCGAAACAATTAGATCCTAGGTGCATTTTCTTTGTAGCTGTGTGAGCAGGCCTACATCCATATGAAAATAACACATTTACTACATGTTTCCAAGAAGACAGGGAATTTACGACAAGCTTTCACGACAACCTGGGCTTGGGCAGAGCATTCTGTTGCTCTAGTCACATGCGAAGCTGGAAGACTTTGTAAATGGGTCGAAGGAGCACACTGAAGTGTGGGAAACCACACTGACGCTCACTAAAAGGGTGCGTAGATATTAATGCACATGTGTGCATATGCACATGCCGAAATATATTTGTGGCAGCTGATATTAAGTGGAATGAGTTTTCTTTCACATTGGAGTGGCTATCTTGACATGCTCTGGGATGCTGAACTTACACAAATCTCACTGAGTTGCTGGGCCCCTGGATTTTTGCACAACGATCTTCTACTTTCTAGTTCCCAAGAGTCTTACTAAACTACTTACTAATTTCTCATCGACATAATTTCACCCAATTAATGAGCCCACAGTATGGTGTTTTGTGAAATGTCAGGTGATCAAGATCTTGTCGAACTGTCTTTTGACAGAGAGAAGGACTGACAAGGCAAGATGACCCGAGGCAAGTGGGTGAAGGTTGATTGTTAGCCCGGACAAGTAAAAGCAAACTGCATATGTAGTAGTCCTTACGTATTAGTATAGCAAAAGCAACATATGTTAGACCAATAAACGCATTTCCATATTAATATTACCTCTTGTGCAAGTAAGGTCATTACCTGATTAATTTTCTGATATCCCACAGCTATTCTCCAAGATTCTATCTCTGTGTATTTGCTTATTAGAGATATTGTTTATAAGTAGAACTGTGCAATATTTTTCTGACTGACTTATTTATTTATTTATTTTCATCTTTCTTTTTTTTTTTAACATTTTATTAGGGGCTCATACAACTGTTATCCCAATCCATACACACATCAATTGTGTAAAGCGCATTTGTACATCGTTTCTCAAAACA